ATACCTCAATTGTGTAATGTACTCACAATTATATCAAAACTGTAGACATAATTGTTCTGTCTATGAGTCACAAAACATTAGTGTAATACGAAGCACCTTACCTAGATCCTCAGGCCAATCCAACTAGACTCAACTACTTTCCTAGACATACCCTGTGAGACTGTATCATCCATGGTCCTTGGAAAACATGCTAAAGTAGAGACAATAGCTCTAGGTCCCTTAGTGCACAAGAAGGATCCGTTGGAAAAAATGGTTTTAAACAAGATTATTTAAGTAACTTGAGACTTAACTAAAAGTGGGACTCATACTTCGAAATTAGTGGGATCAAGTTTAAACACGTTCTCCTCTGCGAGAAAATGAACGCTGTATATTTATTTTCTAAACCCATTAAATATTGAATGAGAAATTATGTCTCAAAATGACTCATTTAAAGTGATGAAATAAACTAAGATTCGTGTAGTGGAATAAGACTTATCCCACATTCGAAAAAGACTAACACTTTGGTGAGTTAATATAAATGGGTTAGGCCCCAAGGGGCACCACACTTTTGTGGGTGGAGCGAACGCTTACACTACCTTACTTATCACACATGCATGTCGCCCGCCTCGCCACGACCGGGCCGGGCTTGGGCAAAAAAGATATAATTTTTTTTGGACAAAATTTATTTGGAGCAATTGGATCATGGGTCAAACTAATCGGATCCGAATGCGGATCGAAATTAAAATTCCAATCGAAATTTAAATCCAACTGGATTTTTAAATTTCTTTATGTTACATTGAATTTGGCGCCAAAAATGGGTCTGATTCATTCCAAAAAGGCTATGTTTACTCCAGAGGTGCATTTGGTGCCTTTGCTTGTTTAGATTATGGAATGTGTCTCTTTAATCTGAACAGTGGCAACTTATGCTTCCTCAAGCAATCTGAACAACCACCAAGGGTCTATAAATAGACTGCCTTATTGCCATTTCAATCGACCCATCCTAATTCTGGATTCCAGTTTCAGAATTTCTTCTCTCTCTGTGCATGTTGCTTCATTTTTCATTTGGTTCGGTTCAAGTATAAACATAAGTTATATTCGCTGGAGTCTAGAAGATTGAAGTGCTGTTTCTTTAAGAATGTAAAGTCTGTTCTATCTTGGGAGATAGTTGCTCATCAATCTTGAGTACCAAGATGGAGCAAATCTGTTTTAAGGAGATTATGTTTCATAAGACTCAAATTGAAATTTTAGTTTTGTTATTTATTGTTTGTGCACTGTTTTTTGTATAACAGTATATAGATATAACTTGAATTTTGTTTGTTGCATAAATTAGACTTCTTACAATTTAATATAATATAATTATATACATATTTTCCATAATAGGACCATCATCAATATTATCATCCAAAGCAGTGATTAGGCAGTGATCCATTAACTTACTCTCTTAATATAAGTGACAAAAACACATACAATATGACATGTATCTTACGACAAAGCTCCCACTCAATTGGGCTTGTCATATTATAAAATATATTTTACGAGTCGCTATCAATGCGCTTAACCTGAGCTGAGTGCTACAAACCAGTCATTCTCTTAGCGCTTGTCTGAAGTCTCACATTCGTCTCTATTCAAGCTACATGAAATTATCGAAACTCCTCATGTTAACCTTGCAGGTGTCCAAGCCTAATCACATTAAGGTGACATTTTTAATAACAAAGCTCGCTACTATGACTAGCACCAAGGCGATTGCTCGCGTGAGTAAGTTGATCTTATGCCTAATGACATCTTGAAATAAAAAATGTATGTTCACAAATCAATCATTCCATAGAAAAACAAAATGAAAGAAATAAAATATTATTATTAATGTCAATAAGTGTCGAAGCACATCAATTCCTATGAAGATCCAAATCTCTAATATGGGAAAGAAAAATATCTCTAGGAATAGGTTTAGTGAAAGGGTTAGCCAACATGCTATCGATAGAGATGTGCTTTAAGACCACCTCCATTTGTTCAGTCATATCACGAATGAAGTGAAAATGAATATCAAAGTGTTTGGTTCTTCTATGATACTTGAGATCCTTTGCATATGTTAGAGCAGTCATGCTATCACAATGAATCAGCACAACATCGTGCCAATGTGGCATGATGCCTGGATGCTGTAAAAATCTTCTCAAGCAAACTGGCTCTTATACTGCTAACGAACATGCAACATACTTTGACTCCATAGTAAACAGGGAAATGCATGATTGTTTCTTGCTACACCATGAAATAACCCCTCCTCTAAGCAAAAATGCATATCCAGAAGTTGACTTACGCTCGTCCCTATTGTTAGGCCAATTTGCATCGACTAAACCCCCTTAATCTCATGTCTCCACTGTGATATCAAAGTACAAGATCAGTGGTACCACGAAGGTATCAAAGGATCTTTTTAACTGCTTGCCATTGATCAAGTCCTAGGTCATTTTGAAAGCTACTAACCAAACCAACTGCATAACATATGTTTAGGGCAAGTCCACATTATGGCGTACATCAAACTTCCAACTACACTTGCATATGGTACTTTGAACATCTGTTTCCTTTCTTTATCCATTTTATGGCACTGGTCAATACTAAGCTCACAACCCGTTTCCATTGGAGTGTCAATGGGTTTGAAATAGTTCATGTAGAATCATTCAAGGACCTTCTTTATATAAGTCTCTTGCGACAAACAGAGAAGTCTCTTTGCACAATTTTTTTATAACCTTAACTCCCAACACACAATTTGCTTCTCCTATCCTTCATCTCAAAAGTACGAGGATAGCCACTCTTTAGAGGCGACAATCATCTACATGTTCTTCCCAGTAAGAAGAATGCTATCAACATACAGTGATAGAATTAAAATTCCTTTTTTGGATCGTTCAACATACACAAATGGTCTTCCTAAATGTTGTTTTAACATCCATCTGAAATAATTCCAAATCTATCTATGCGACAATAGCTAGGATAAGGCGAATAGAGGCAAACCTCACCACTAGGGAGAATGTCTCTTCATAGTCTATACCCTTATTTTGGATATATCCTTTCGCTGCAAGTCAGGCCTTATGCTTGTCAATCAATCCATCTGCCTTGGGTTTAATCTTTAAGTCCCATTTGTTACCCAGGCAGAAGATCAACTAGCATTGCTTCTTAGAAGTTAATATGTAGGAATGGTAGTTAGTTAGGAAATTTTTTTGACAATAATTAATTTTTTATCTGGGAGAGAAAAATACCTATAATCTTGTTGATTTGCAAGTTGTTACACTAGATAATCCAATATTACAATGAGGAACAATGGATTTATATTATGGACAAGAAGAGAAAACATCCACAGAGAGAGAAAGCAAAAAACAAAGCGAAAGACTAAGAGGGGCAAAAATAAAACTCTCAAATGAGGACAAATTAAAATCTTGAGAGAATTAAACGTAATCAAATAGCCTTATAGAAACCAATGGAATGTCGTCATACTCTCGAAATACTCATTTAGCATTCTATCAAGTATCAACAATTATATTATACTGATTAATTTCTTTTCAATTTTTTCTTAGAAAAAAAATAACTTATTAAGAACAGTTGAATTATTGTGTCACACTGGATCTCATTAACAACCCAAAATGAGTTGCTAATGAACCTAAGTACCTAGAAAGATTAATGTTTGTTTGTTCAATTTACAAGGGTAGGATTGATCCCAAGTACCTAGAAAATTGTAATATGACCTCAAAACGATGTGAATTTAAAAAATTAATCTTTTAAGGGTACAAAAAACTAGAGATATGTAGGGGGCGAAAATATCAAGAAGATGCGTTGAAAGTAAGTATAAGTTAGAAAAAAGTCTCCATCATATACATTTCAAATATGTAAATTTGTGTTTCGTGGTGAAAAGATTAATTGAATTAATTAGGACCCGTAATATGATTGACTGATGGGATAATCACAAACATACAAAATAGTGTCTAAAATATGAGTTACCTTACAGATTTTAAAAGATGATAATTTATATTCTGTAACTAAATGGAAAGATAGGGTTCAGACAAAACAAAATCAAAATAAATATCATTGTAATTATAACTAATTATTCAAAAAAAAAAGGGGATGGAGATAAAAAAAAAAAAAAAAAGGGACCTCCATCGCAAGTGGTGCACCAAGCATCCGCTTAGCATTTGAGCCGGCCTTGTACAAAGTTAAATGATTTTGACTCTTTTGAGTCATAAATAATTTGGCATGTTAAAATTATTTGATAAATATGTCGGTATGAACCCGATTAACCACGATTTAGATATGATCCTAACTTCAAACAATATGAATTCCACATGACTATTGACGGATCAATATAGGTTAAATAAGTTTAATACACAATAGCATGAAATGGCAAATAGTGAAGCCATCCACGGGTTAGATAGTTGTGTCAACGCAACCCACAAATTTATTGAATAGTTGTAGTATCTATAATATAAAATAAGATAAATTTTAATAAATTCATCTGACGGTCTCAAATAGACTCATCTAACGGTTACTAACATTTTTCTCAAAATCATTCACATTACACTGTGCCCTCAAACACGGGTTACTCTTAGTTTAAATATATTTTAAGTAGTTAAAATAGAGAGTTGAGTTGCCGTTGCTCTTACATCCACCATCCTATATTCTTCAACCTTTATGGCCTAAATGTTTTACTAATTTACAAATTATCTATGAATCTTAGTTTTTCATACAAAAACTATTACTATATTTTTATTTAGGGTGTCAATCGTGTCGTATTTGTGTGACCCACATATTGTGTTATTCGTATCATATCATTGTTATTCGTGTTATATTCGTGTCAAGACTCACAGGAAAAAAATTTATTTAGTGTGTTTTAAATATTAAATATTAGTTTAAATTATTTATTATGCGTATTTAATAATCGTGTCAATTTTATAATCGTTCATATTGAATTCGTGTTGAGTTCATATTCCCTATTTTTGTTAGAATAATGTCCTAAAATCGATAAAATCTAATCACATGCGACAATGTTGGTGGGTTTGGTCCGCTGGTCACCCACTTGTCTAAATCGAATCCACAATTTTATTTTATTTGGGGTGTCTTGATAACTTAATCTCAACAATATCTAGACTTTAAAATAAAAAAAAGTCTCATACACTTTATATATTTCGTTATTTTTATGTCTATCACCGTCGAACCAAGCTTAAAACACGTTTATGACTCAATTTTCTAAGTGAACTTGTTTATGATACTGAAAAATAAATTTTGTTATTATATCTTAATTTATCATATTTGTAGATATTTTATTATTATTATGAGTATTTTTATAATTATTGTGATATTAAAAAAAATGGTAAAAATAATTATATAATAGTGGTACATCATCCATAAAAATGATAATTTTTTTTTATATCAAAGAAAAATGATAAAAATAATTACCATAAAAATAGTAAAAATATCTATAATAGTTTTAAAAACACCCACAAGCCAATAATAAATTTTTTAATTATAAAATCACTCACAAAAATTATAAAAACACTTCAAAGTTTTTTAATTTTTTTAGCCAGTAAGTAGTCAACTCCTTCCTAAATTACTCCCGAAATTCACGTGATCCAAAAATTCATACGGCTAGCACCCACCCACAAGACAACATCATCGCAAAGCATCTATACTCTCTCCCACAGGACATCATCGCAAAGCATCTATACTCTCTCTCTCTCTCCAATTTATTCGTCTAGGAGCAATATTATAAAACCTAAATAAAATTTAAAGCCTAAATATCATTATTGAATATGTGAATTTTACTAATTTTTTCAATAAGTCCCACTTATCCCATTAGTTGATATGCATTTGAATCTCATTTGAATTAGATAACATTTTTTTTAATATATATATAAAAATAATGTTACACTGACTAAATTATTGTCTATATTTTATATCTTAAATTAATTAAGATAGTTGGATTTAATACAAAATATTCGATACACGAGATTTTAATACATTATTTAAATACAATATTTGTTAAACAGGGGACACATTTTTATTCTATATATAAAGTAATATATACAGGGTTTCTCCTCCAAAACTTCATCGACCATGGCTATTGCCAGCGCCGGAGCACACATCCTGATCATCCCTTACCCTGCTCAGGGCCACATGTTACCCCTTTTGGACCTAACCCATCAACTAGCTAGCCGTGGCCTCACCATCACCATACTAGTTACCCCACAAAACCTCCTTCTTCTAAACCCTCTTCTCTCCAAACACCCCTCAATCGAAACGTTAGTCTTGCCTTTCCCTGCGCACCCTTCCATCCCCGCCGGCGTCGAAAACGTCAAAGACCTACCCGTCGGTGGCTTCCGCACTATGATGCACACCCTAGGGGAACTCCACAATCCTACGGTCCAATGGTTCCAAAACCACCCATCGCCGCCGGTGGCCATCATCTCCGACTTTTTCTTGGGGTGGACCCACCACCTCGCATGCCAGCTCAGCATCCGCCGGTTCATGTTCTCGCCGTCCGGCGCTCTGGCCTTGTCCATCATTAACTCCCTCTGGTCCGACCTACCGAAAAGAATTGATCCAAACGATGAAAGTGAAATGATTCCATTTTTAAAAATTCCGGCCACTCCGGCTTACCCATGGTGGCACCTCTCTCCAGTTTACCGGAGCTATGTTGATGGAGAGTCAGCAGACCCAATTTCAGAATTCATCAAAGATGGGTTTCGTTCAAATATAGCGAGTTGGGGACTCATCATCAACTCATTCAGTGAGTTGGAACGAGATTACTTGGATCATCTAAAGCAGGAATTGGGTCATGATCGGGTGTGGGCGGTTGGACCATTACTCCCTCCTGATGATGATCAAGGAGGACCAAGTGAGAGAGGTGGATCCAGCTCAGTTTTGGCTCCTAAGATATTATCATGGCTTGAAACTTGTGAAGATCAAACTGTGCTGTATGTGTGTTTTGGTAGTCAGGCAGTGTTGACAAATGAGCAAATGGAGGGGTTAGCATTAGCGTTAGAAAAAAGCCGAGTGAGATTTCTCTGGTCAGTGAAAATGGCGACAAAAGGACATGAAAAAGCAGATCAATATGGTATGATCCCATCTGGGTTTCAAGATCATGTAGCTGGGAGGGGACTGGTGGTCCAAGGGTGGGTCCCACAGGTGTTGATACTGAGCCACAGAGCAGTGGGTGGGTTCTTGACTCACTGTGGGTGGAACTCAGTTCTTGAAGCGCTTGTTGCTGGGGTGCCAATGCTGGCTTGGCCTATGGGGGCTGACCAGTTTGGCAATGCTACTTTGCTGGTTGATGAGCTTAAAGTGGCGGTTAGGGTTTGTGAGGGTGCAAAAACGGTGCCGGACTCCGGCGCGCTAGCCGGTTTGATTGCCGGAGCAATGGTGGAGAAGAGGGAGGAGATGGTGAGAGCCATGGAGTTGAGGGTGGCGGCTTTGGAAGCCATTGGAGAGAACGGAAGTTCTTTCAAGGATTTGGAGGGGTTGGTGAAGCATTTGGCCCAACTGCCTTTTCAGAAATCCTAGTACCGAGGAATTGCTTGCCAACCATTCATAATTCACCTGTATTCGTAAGTTTCATAAATCCTAACCTGACGAGTTATCTCTCCTTTTGGTCATGTGAGCCTGCAAGGCCATGAGTAAATATTTGGATCTAGTTGTATTAAAAATGGATATATTAGATAATATAATATAGTCTAATACAATATAAATAAATTAAACACAAGATTAAATATAATATTAGAATAATAAATAATTTTATTTAATTTTTGACAATACACAATATAAGCGTTAGATAATAATTATTTAATCTAAACAATTATTTGGTTAAAAAATTATTTCATCATATTAATATTGAATGAACAAAAATACTTTCGATCAGTGTTTGTTATATTAATGACAACTTGATTTTATCACTTGAGGGTTATAATAATAAATTTGTAGAATAGTACGTTTGAATTTGATTATAATACCACCTTTTTTAGTAGTATTAAAAGACTTCCATAATACAGGTCTATTGTATACAAATTATATGATAAGTATACGATTAATATAGGTTTTTTTAAATTAATACAGTATCAAATTTACTTACCAAATAAAGTATTAGGTTCGATTAAATAAAAAATAGTACAATCAAATATTTAATCCTCTCATAATACGTCTATCAAACGAGCCGCAATAGTGTTATCATATTGTGCAATTGTTCGGTAATAAATAAATAAATGAGAAAAATGAACTCTACTTTATCTTCCATCAAAGTGTGGTTATTGGAAGGATGCGGTCTATTTTTTTAATTGTTGAGTTATCATTGAGGGGTTACATTACTTGATAATGTTGACGTGGTGTAACGGTTCACCTAATATTTACTGGGGTTAATTGTAAATTACATGTCGAAAGATTGTTTGAATCTTAATTTATACCCTCAAAGATTAAAAGTAGCAATTTACACCCTTAAAAATAAAAATTTATATTAATGTACACCTGAAACTAACAACCGTCAGTTTGCTCTATATAACTAAATGGATAAATTATACATAGATGTGCTCATATTTGTCACTTAATCATTTAGACCCCCTCACATTTAGAATATTACTCCTACACCTCCTAATGTTTGTGCACATGTAATACATAACTCCTTGTTTTTTATATCTGTTAATTTAACCGTTAAAAAAAATATGATTTTATCATAATAAAAAATATAATTTTATATTACCCTTTATTTTGTGGGTTCGTTATGCTCTAAAGTTCAAAATCAAACTTACTATTTGAATGCCTAATATAATGTAGGTATTTATATAATGTTCTTTATATCCAATGCAATACATCACTTAAACATAATTATTTGAATGCCTAATTGGAGGAACATTTTTAGTCATATTTGGATTCTCAAGGGATGTAGGTTTAACATTTCAAATGCGATGGGTTTAGATAATTAAGTGACAAGTATGATGGGATTTATGTGTAATTTATTCATTTATTTTTAGACACCAAAGTGACGACTGTTTGCTTGAGGTGCGTATTGATATAAATATCTATCTTATGTACAAATTAATATTTTTGATTTTTGAGGATACAATTTGAGATTAACCCTATTTACTTCAAAGACACGTCCGTGGTTCCATATAATATTTATTATATTTTTACTTAATTTTCACATAATTTCGATCAATTTATAATGATGCACTAGGAGAAACTCACATAAATAGTCTTTTATGTGAATCCATGAGTAACTACAATGTGTAACAGTGATATTGTACCACATCATTATTATCACGTAGTGTCACCATCTAATAACAAACTTATAAATGAGCAAAGTGAATATAATTTCATTATACTTGATAGTTATTTTTTTGTATGGACATGATAATTACTAAATTAAATAGGATCTACTTGCTAAGATGTTAGTTTATTATTGATTTTACACCATGTGACAATAGTGACAGGATATCACCGTTCTATTCAATATTTTTTCACCGTATTAGGTACATGGTCTTAAATTTTGTTTAGTTTCATGCGAAACGTACTAAACATTTCTTTTGTTACAAAATCAGAAACGAAACTTTAAAAGAATCTCTAGAAGTACTGATTTTCGATGAAACTCGAAATGTTTCTATTTTTTTGCACAAAACGTTTGAGAAGCAGTCCATTTTCGATTACTTTGCGAAAACTTAAAAAAAAAGGAAGAAAGGAAGTTCATTTTCGAGTTCAATTGAACGAGAAGTCGAGAGACCAAATCGGCCATTTCCCAAGTTCCCAACTCAAAGAGTTTTACACAGACATCAACTCTGGTGAAGTTGGGATCTAATCTCAGCTGAAAATTAGGGACTTCAACTTAGATCGCAGCTGAAAATTAGGGATTTCAACTTATTTTCCTGGGTTGTGAGGATTAAACCAATTTAAATGAACGGAGTGGAGCATATTGAACAACAAGAAGAGCTAGCAGTAGTCTATATCGTTGAAGGGCGACGACATATAGAGGTATTTGTGTGATTCAACTGATACTTTAACATTTTCAATAGTTTGATTAAGGATGAGGAGAAGTAAGTTGGCTATTGAAGCAACTCTTCTTAAGGCACATAAAAAATATTGCAATATAATTGATGATCGATGGAAAAGACAGATGAAACAAGACATACATATAACAGGTAACTAGTAATACAATTTTTTTAATCACTGCCTTAAAGCTAAACTAGCCAATTAGTATTGTGAACAGTACCGTGAACAGTACTATAAATAGTACCAACCACATTTAATTCCATCTTCTGTTCAAAAAGTGTTGTGCTGAAATTCCATCTTCCATCACATTCCATCTTTATTTTTTTAAAGCATTACTTACTGAAAACACTTTCTATGATTTTACCAGCATACTATTTAAATCCTACATACTACTATGATCAAGAACTTGCTTACAAAGAGGAATTGGTCGACGCTTTGAGAAGAGTAGTGCCAAAGCTTGAACTAGATGGTGATCGGGCTACCATGGCGCTTGCAGAGGTATATACCAGTTATCTTTACAATGATTTAATACAACATTATATTCTCATACTAGGAATCTCTAAAAGATCTACCATGTAGGCAAAAACATTTCGAGATGCTATGTATGGGTTTGGTGATGCAACTATTAGAGGAAGGTCGACAACTGAGCCAGGTAATTAAAAATATGTAGACATTTATTGTTTAGAAATCCTTAATTTTGTATGTACTTAATATAACAAAGTCTTTTTTGAATTTACAAATTGCTTCTTCTATTTTGTAGCTGATTGGTGGTTCATGTATGACACTGATGCCCCACATTTAAGACGAATTGCTTTTAGAGTTTTATCACAAACAGCTTCGTCAAATGGGTGCGAAAGAAATTGGAGTACATTTGCTCTCATCCATACTAAAGTTCGTAATCGCCTTAACTATCAAAAGTTGGAGAAGTTGGTCTATGCACATTATAACATGAGGTTGAGATTGCGACATCTCATGAAAGACAAAAGGAAAGTAGACCTTGACTTTAAACCAATAGATTTGGCTCATTTGTTTGAAGAGGATGATTTGCTCACGGAGTGGTTAGATGATCCAGGAGATGCACTATAAGATGAATTTGACGACGAAGAACAACATGCTAGGCCAATTCTTTTTTGGCTACATGGGTTGAAAGATTGAGTGGACCTCATACAAGTGGCACAAGTTCAAATGAGGCAAGAGCAAGGAACATAAGAGGTAGTGGAACGAACATTATCTTGGATGATGACGATGATTTTTGAGATATTGATGAGAGGACCATCATTGCATCATACAGACATTGATGAAGTTAACAATAATGGTGGTGTTAGTGAAGAAGGTGAGCGTGATAATAGTATCCATGTTGGTGGTATTGGAAGCAATGAGAATATTAACAATAAGGATGTTGGTGGTAGAGATGACAGTTTCACTAGTGAATCGATAAATAATAATTCTTTTAGTTCTTCGCATCAACAACACATTGGAGAGAGTCCAACTGGTGTATATTTCACTAAAGAGCAATATTTTGATCATGCCACCCAAGACCAAGATCATGGTAGTTGTCGCTCCATGGGTCATAATAATGATATGCGAAGTCNTGTAGACATTTATTGTTTAGAAATCCTTAATTTTGTATGTACTTAATATAACAAAGTCTTTTTTGAATTTACAAATTGCTTCTTCTATTTTGTAGCTGATTGGTGGTTCATGTATGACACTGATGCCCCACATTTAAGACGAATTGCTTTTAGAGTTTTATCACAAACAGCTTCGTCAAATGGGTGCGAAAGAAATTGGAGTACATTTGCTCTCATCCATACTAAAGTTCGTAATCGCCTTAACTATCAAAAGTTGGAGAAGTTGGTCTATGCACATTATAACATGAGGTTGAGATTGCGACATCTCATGAAAGACAAAAGGAAAGTAGACCTTGACTTTAAACCAATAGATTTGGCTCATTTGTTTGAAGAGGATGATTTGCTCACGGAGTGGTTAGATGATCCAGGAGATGCACTATAAGATGAATTTGACGACGAAGAACAACATGCTAGGCCAATTCTTTTTTGGCTACATGGGTTGAAAGATTGAGTGGACCTCATACAAGTGGCACAAGTTCAAATGAGGCAAGAGCAAGGAACATAAGAGGTAGTGGAACGAACATTATCTTGGATGATGACGATGATTTTTGAGATATTGATGAGAGGACCATCATTGCATCATACAGACATTGATGAAGTTAACAATAATGGTGGTGTTAGTGAAGAAGGTGAGCGTGATAATAGTATCCATGTTGGTGGTATTGGAAGCAATGAGAATATTAACAATAAGGATGTTGGTGGTAGAGATGACAGTTTCACTAGTGAATCGATAAATAATAATTCTTTTAGTTCTTCGCATCAACAACACATTGGAGAGAGTCCAACTGGTGTATATTTCACTAAAGAGCAATATTTTGATCATGCCACCCAAGACCAAGATCATGGTAGTTGTCGCTCCATGGGTCATAATAATGATATGCGAAGTCGGGGAATTTAACAATGCTTATTATTTTCTAAAACTCTAGAATTCATCTTTTAATTGCTTTGATTTTGTGGTGTTACTGTTATTGCTGGAATTTTTTTATCAATGCCAGATGATGAATGACTACTTTAGTAAGCATGAGACTT